AATAGGATAACTTGTTCAACAATATAAAGCTCAAGGAAAAAAGCAAATAAGTTAACACAAAATTATTAATAAAAAAGAAAAAAAAACTGCTAGTAAAAACATCAAAAGAAAATACAAGAAAATCTACTGTGGCTTTTAATGCTAAAGTTTTATCAAATTAAATCTTAAAGTAAATGTTTTACCAACATTTGGTGTCTTTTAAGGCTTACTTGTTTAGCAGAAGATTAACTTTAGCAGAAGTGGAAATATTATGACTTGGGGTTGCTTCACCCGTGATTGTATTTGACTTATTCTTCATATTGAATAAACTATAGATGAGTATGAGGAGATTATCAATGATAAAATGCTTTGTCATGCTAGGATAAAATACTGCGAAGATGGATACTTCAACAAAACAATGATCCAAAGCTTACTGCAATCTCAGTTAAGAATTTTTTTGCCAGGTAAAAAACTTTTATGTTTTCAAGTGGCCATCACAAAGTCCTGATTTCAACCCAATTGATTATTTATGAAAAAACCTTGACAAAAAAGTAGGGCCGTACCAAATTTCGGCTCCGGCTCCTGCTCCGGCCGAAATCCGGCCATTTTTACAAATCCGGCCCAAATCCGGCTCCGGCAAAATGTTAGCAAATCCGGCATAATTTTGGCCGGATTTATGGATGTTTATTACATCTTTCTTACCCGTGATAACATGTATACATAATACTTAATTTTTGAACTTCATGTTTGTTTTGGTATCTGTATTTACATTTTTTTGCAATTTAATTAGCTAAGCCTAATTTCAAACAAGAACGCAACAAAAAATTCTGAAGAGAAGACACACGATATTCTTCAATAATGCAGGTGTAAAGACTATGAAGTCAATCCTAATCAACTCATTAGATAAGCGTTTCAAAGGCATTGAGGAGAAACCTTTTTAGATTGAAAAAAATAAAGAAAATCCAGCAAAACAATCCCGGCTGGATAATTCTTATACATTATCATCATTATAATGGTAATATATATAGATGAAATTATTCAGTCTACGTCCGCTTGTGGCACAGCACATGAACAACAATTACCAACAGGCATTGACACTCAGCTAAGCCAATATCTGGAAGAATCAGAAATATATAGACACGCTGATTCACTACAGTGGCGGAGTGACAACTTCCTGGGAAAAAAAGTTCTGTAGAATTTCTCTAAATTTTTGAAACATATGGCCTATAGAAACTCTATAAAATTTATATAAAATGTCTATTAATTTCTGTAGAAATTGCTATAAAACTTTTAAACAACAAAAATGATGTTTAATAGAAAACAACCCGATGGGCATTTGTTTTTAAAAGTTACGTTCTGAATGTGTTTTAAATGTCTTTTAAACGTCTTTTAAACATTAATGTTTAAAAGACGTTTAAAAGACATTTAGATCGTAACTTTTAAAAAGAAATGCCCGTCAGGAACTGTCACTTGGTGATCTAAATAGTCAACATTGTTGACCATTTTCAACACCAAGTAGGGATATACAGGATTTTGGTTCCTGTAGTTTTGCTTCAAAATCCAGCTCCGGCTCCGATTCCGGCTGGATCTGTTAGTAAAAATCCGGCAAATCCGGCTCCGGCCGGATTTGGAAAAATTAAATCCGGTACAGCCCTACAAAAAAGATGGTATTCACATAAGTATAAAGGTCAAGAAAACAACAAATAAGAATGATTTACTTGCTTTAATTGATTGATTAAAGATTTTATTAGATGCTATTATAATTGCAATTAACTCTAATTAAACTTTTTTAATATGACTATAATTGTCCTTAAACTTTTGAACCACAGCGAAATGGTTATCTTTTGTTAATTACATAATTAAATGTTATTTTGAACAAATGTATTTATTTCTGATAAATAATATTATAAGCTATATTCAGCAAAAATTTCAAGAATATTTAAAGTGTCAGTCAGAATTTATGGTAAAATAAGTGTCTGTCCTAACTTTAGGATGCTACTATGAATACATGTATATAAAAAGTTGACTCTCAATATCTCGACTACTTAATATCTCGAACTTTTGTGTATTTGGAACTTTATTTCTGGTCCCTTGCGCACTCATTTGAGCCAAAATTCTCTCAATATCTCGAACTTTCGATATCTTAAACTTTTTTCCCGGTCCCCTGAGAGTTCGAGATAACAAGAGTTAACTGTATATACTTCAACAACTTCATAACAAACAATGTTTTTTGCATTACATAAAGCATAGAATCTAAATTTTTAGAAATTGATATTATTTAATATTGCTATACATGTGTATAAATTCTTATTTACACATCTGTACTACTTTATATTTTGTCAATAGAAAAGACTTAACCTAAGAAAATATTTCACTTTAATTCATTGAAATAATGTAGTATTTATTTTTTAGCATAAATTTTATTTTTATAATATAATTAAATTATTGGACAGTTCAAATTCTGGACATTTTCAAGTCTAGCATACTTTTCTTAAGATTCTAACTAACAACCTTCTTAAAAGTTTAATTCTAATCATACTTAAGGCTTTTATATCTCTATTAACATAAAAAACACAACATCAATTAAATAAAATTATTTTGTTGATTTAAAGGTTTTTAATAATTTTACAATAAAAAATTTTATTATGAATTCGTGTTAATAAATAGTTATTTACAGACCACACATGCAGGTTTAGCAATTACACAGGTCAACTAAAAAAATTATTTTTTCTGGTTCCGAGCAAACAATTCATTTTTAATATAGATATTCTCATTTTGATTTCAAATATGCAACTCAATTTTTTTCATCATGTAAAGTTGTAAAGATAATTGGGTTCAAATTTTTAGTATTTGGGGTAAAATTCCTAATATTGCCAAAAAAAAAATTATTCAAAAGTATGTCAACACGGATCTGAAAAGAAGCACATTTTCTTAGAGATTTTTAAAATATTATTCGTTTGTAATAAAAATACTTTATGTCTTATTGGTAATTTTGTTTAAATTTTTTAAAGAGCCATTTTTTATCATTTTTTTTACATAATTTTTTTGTCAAAAAATTGTATGGAAAAATCTTTATTTTTTTAAAATCTCGATGAAAATACACTTCTTTTGAGACCCAGGTTGACATACTTTTAAATAACATTTTTTTGACAATTTTAGGGACTTTATCCCAAATACTAAAGATTTGAACCCAAATACCCAAACAACTTGATGTGATGGTGAAAAATAAGTTGCATATTTTAAATCAAAATTAGAAATGCTATAAAAAAAAACTAATTGTTTGCTTGGCACCAGAAAAAAAAAAAAATTTTAAATATGTTACTCTACTATTATAAATTTCAATATTAAAAAAATTATTTAGAAACGCAAGTTAATTTACCAAACCATTCCATGATTTCTGCGTTGTTACCATGACACCAATCTATAACATTCGAATTCTTGCAATCGTGTGATTTGTTCACAAATTCATGAGAAAAATTACAACTAATCAAATTGCTCCACTGTGCCCAAATAGCTAATAAGAAATCAACCTTGAAATTGATTCACTAAAATTCTTGTATGTTAATCAAAACAAAAAGAATAACAATGAAAGAAAATTACTTTTGTTTTGTTTATGATACAAGAAAGCACATACATGTTCATGTTTAACAATATTAAATATTAATGATATTGATAATGATAATAATGATGACGATAATAATAATAATAATAATAATAATAATAATAATAATAATAATAATAATGATGATGACGATGATGATGATAATGATGATGATGACGATGATGATGATGATGATGATGATGATGATGATGATGATGATGATGATGAGGTTGATGATAATAATGATGATGAGGATGATGATGATGTAGATAACAATGATGATGATGAAGATGATAAAGATGATAATGATGATGATGAGGATGATGATGATAATGATGATGATGATGATATATAGTAAATATAAATAATTTCCTAATTAAAACACAAATTTTTTACCAAAACATTCTACAACATCAGAGTTATTAACATAACACCAATCTCTTGCATTAGAAATTTTACATTCCCTTGTCCTGTTTATAAATCCATGAGAAGCATTGCAAACTGTCCAATCACTCCATTTTGACCAATAAGCTAAAAAATAATCAGTAATTGTTATAAAACAATGTTGCTCTACCGAAAAATTCCTTGCTAGATGAAATATTGCTAATACGGTTAGATATCATAGTTGGTATGGATTTAATAATACTAGGAGGGTGGTTAGAATTTATGTTGATGTATAATGGGTGGTCACCTAGTTTTCTGTATGGCTGGAAAATATTTTCTAACAAGTTGAAGGTAACATCAAGAAAATTTACAATTTTTAAGTTGGTTTTTTTAGTAAGTTTTAGATTAAATTTCTCCTTAAAAAGATTAACAATGTTTTTCTTTATTCTCTTGGGTTGCGGTCTATTAATTACATGAAAACAACAAAGCCCATTATCTCTATATAATCCAACAGTTTGCAACCCATAGTCTTGACTTAAAGTATGTAAAATAAAGAGTCCAACATGTTATGTTACAAATTTAATTGTATTTTATTAACATTTTAATATAATATAATATATTTGCTCTACTTTTGTATTGAGCACTGTCTACCGAAAAATTACTCTTATTATATATATATATATATATATATATATATATATATATATATATATATATATATATATATATATATATATATATATATATATATATATATATATACATAGACACACACACACATATATATATATATATATATATATATATATATATATATATATATATATATATATATATATATATATATATATATAGACACACACATATATATATATTTATATATATATATATATATATATATATATATATATATATATATATATATATATATATATATATATATATATATATATATATATATAGATACACAAATATACTTTACAATATGATAAGAGTATAGTGATTCTAATAACTATTTTCAGTAAAAAGTTTTTACCTGGACATTCTATTACTTCTGAATTTTCACCAAAACATACCTCCTTGGTATTTAAAACTTTACACTCCCTTGATCTGTTCATAAACCTATTAAACTCATTACATCCAGTCCAACTATTCCATTTTCCCCATAAAACTAAAAAATTAATAAAAAAATAAAAATTACTTTATAAAACCCATTCGAATATTAAACTAAACACATAGTATACATAAGAATTTTTTTGAAAATGACACACTCATAAAAGTTAGTAAATATAGGCAAAAAAAATCAGCACAAGATCTATTTATTTTTATACAGAGAAAAAAAAAGGTGGACAGATTGCATGTTCAAAAAAAAACCATACCTAACACATTTTAAATCAAGATTTTGAAAGTGTTCTGTCAACATTTATAAAAATAAAAAAAGGTTAAACAGACTTAAAATTTTTAGTATTTTATGTAAGTTTCAGAAAAAGTACATGGTTGAAATATTTACTAATATTTGAAATATTTATTGAAATATTTAAGTTTCAGAAAAAGTACATGGTTGAAATATTAAAGTTTTTTTTTTATATACAAGTAATAAAGAAAAGTATTTTTAAAAAAGTTCTGCAACCCAGACTAGTAACATTATAAAACCTCCAATTTGGATCTAATTGTCCCTAATGCCGTTTCAACAAAAAAAAATTATATCCAGAGTTGTTAGCAATTAATGAACAACTTAGTTGTCTAGAGGCTTATGCTTTCAAAGATTAACTACTGAGATGGCTAAAGGCATTCCTTCTGGACAGAAAAAAAAAGAGTTCTTGTTGACAAAAACTACTCTGAGTTGATAAAAGTTCAGAGTGGTGTGCCACAAGAATCTGTTCAAGGTCCTTTACTGTTTATAGTGTACATAAATCACATGCCAGATGTTGTCAAATGTTCACTCTAGCTCTTTTTTGATGACAGCAAACTAATAAATATATTAAAAAATCAATTTGACATAGAACAGCTGCAAACAGATCATAACGCTGAAGTTAGATGGGCCGATAATGGAGGAAAATGGAGTCGAATGCAAACAAATGCAAAGTATTGACGATAAAAAATAATCTTCCAAAACAATATCACATGATCACAAATTTAGCATACAAAATCAAAATAATAGCCACACATACTATACACACTACACATGTCTATATATACTATACTATACCACACATACTATACACTACACATGTCTACCAACTACAAGATCTTGGAATTTTAATAACTAGCAATCTAAAATGATAAGTCTAATCAAAAAATGCAGCAATTAAAGATAATGCAGCACTAGCTTCACTCAAGTAGATGTTTAGATTCTTAAATTCTTCAATGTTTAAAACACTTTATACCACATTTTTGAGACCTCACTTTGAGTATGGAAAGCCTGCATGGGCTCTTATCAACAAAGTTGATGAAAAACTTATCGAAAAAGCACAAAGAAGAGCCACCAAGTTATGTCATTCATTAGGAGGAAAAACTGTCATCTCGAAAAAATTTTTTTATCCCTTCTACCTTTAATTTTTGGTTTAATGTTTGCAATAATCACTGGTTTTATTTTTGCAATAGAATGTTTCTACTTTAAAAACTATTTTCAAGAAACAAAAAAAAATGTAGGGGAGAGTGGGGTTGGTTGTCACGCGGGTCGGTTGTCACAAAGTTTATTACAGAAAATGTAGATAACATTTCAAACTTTAAAATCATACAATGGAAACTTTATATAAAAAAAACATTTTCAAAGTAATTTTCAACTTTTTTTAGTGAGTAGAAGAAAAGTTATTTGTTTTTATAGGTTTTTGGGTATGAAAAAGTAAAATTTCGCCTACTTAGAAATTTTCTTTTATAAATCGAAATGTATTTTATTGTGTTTTGAATGTTTATCTTTTAAGTTTTTAATTGATTTGAGTAACTTAATCCACAAAAAATTCTCATGAAATTTACATGCTTTTAGGTAAATTTACAGGTGTCTTGCTACTTACATAGAAGGGGTTGCTTGTCACAAAATATATGGGGTTGGTTGTCACAATTGCCTCGATTCCGTGTACTGTAAACTATACATTGCTTATAGATATTCCTTGTTTAAATATATTTTGATACTAACTCTGTTTTTTATCATAGCAGTATTTATATAGTTTTTAAGGGGACCGTAAACTGCTTTATCCAAAGGCTGTAATTTGTGTTTGCATATTCAAATGAGAGAATTTTAGAAGTCTTTTTTTTAGAAAAATTATTTTGTTTAAATAGATTTCTTTATTAAAAAATTCTAAAAACAACATAATTATATAAAATGTTTCATCTTGATAATACTTTAAATAAAATTTAAATATAAAAAATGGTATTGCATTTTTTATATTTAATATATATTTTGATATACTTAAAGTTGCAAATATTTTGATACTAACTCTGTTTTTTATTGTTTTGTTTAATAATTCTTTTGCATTATTGAAAATTAAATCTGCTTTTTTTATAAGCCAAATTCGTTTCATGTATAGTAGGCATTTATTTGTAATGTTATATAATAATTGGTTTGTGTTAAATGTGATCTTTCAGTTTTTACTTAATTTAAAATGTTAAAAAATTAATTAACAAAAAAAACAGTTCTTTTTTAAAGTTCTTGAAATAAAATTCAATAAAAACTTAATTTAACATTTTACCAAAACATTCCATGACTTCAGTATCATTTCCACAGCACTGATTAATTGAATTTAAAATATTGCACACTCTTGTTCGGTTCATAAACCCATAAGTAGAATTGCAACCAGTCCAATTGCTCCATATTGACCAAAAAGCTTAAGTGAGAAATATATATATATATATATATATATATATATATATATATATATATATATATATATATATATATATATATATATATATATATATATATATATATATATATATATATATACATATAATGTTATACTAAATTATTTAAATTAAATTACTTCTTATTATGGAGACATTCAAAACAATTATACTATTTATCGATTAATAATATTTCGAAACCAACAGACAGTCTCATCATCAGATTATATTAGACATACTCTAATGATGAGACCGTCTATTGGTCTTGAAAATTCACTAATAAAACAATAACATAATTGTTTTGAAGGTCTCCATAAAAATAAGAAATTTGAAATAATAATATATGTGTGTGTCTTATTATAGTATTTATAAAAAAGCGAAGAGAAGCAACATTATGATAATATGACAATGGTTAAAGGTTGCCTGCAAGAGCAGGTCCAACTTTGTTTACAATGCATTTTTGCATCTTGTCTAAAAGAGAAATGGCATTATTCAAAGTTCTCTCCAGATATGGCAATAGTATTCCATACAAGGATGGATTTGAGATTTATAGAAATAAAAAATAAAATCTGGAGTAAAAAGGTGGTAAGCACAATAAAGTGATACAACATTAGAAGTTACTTATTTTGCAATAGTTTTGATTATAGTTTCTTCAAAGTAAGAGTTCATCCTAGAAGATAAAGGATAGATGACTCATCGAGTATATTACATTTCATAAATTAAGGAAGATCTAGATGGTTGCGACAACAATTAGATAAAAAAATTGGATTTTATCTGAGTTAAAGTTCACCAGCCACTGAGAGCCCTATGCTGTAGCAGAAGTGAGATCCTTTTTAAGCTCAAATGCCTTTTCCAAACAACCAAAAAGTGTACCACCTTAGTTGTGAGATTTCTATGGAGATTGTTAATACAATTTAAAATCATAGGACCAAGGAAAGAACCTTGAAGAACTTCTGAAGTAACAGGAAATAAAGAAGAGTGTTATCCATATAGCACATCTTTATTACTACAAGTGGTAAGGAAAGATTCAATAATCTTAAACATGTTACATGATACTCTGTAAGAAGAGAGATTATGGAGAAGACCAGTATGCAAAACTTTATTAAAGGCTTTATAAATATCAAGAATGAGAGCTTTAACCTCCCAATAGCAATCTTAATGTGCAGTAAAACTTATCAGTTATTATTGCTAACAAATCAGCAGTAGAACAAGAAAATTGAAATCCATATCAATGATCAGAAAGTAAGTTATTAAGTTCAGGATGAGAGATTAAGTGTTAGTTAATTAAAGACTCAAAAATCTTGCTTATGGTAGGAAAAAGACTAATGAGACAGTAGTTAAATGAATCAGATCGCTTTGCAGAATTTTTGAAAATAGAAACAGATGCCGCTTTCCAGCAGGCTGGAAAACAAGACTGTGATAACCGCTTGCTAAACAGTTTTGAAAGTATAAGTATACTAAAACAGGTACATTGTCTGGACCACAGGCTTTAAAAAAGAAAATTGCTCCATGTAAAGAGAAATAATTTTAGATACAGAAGTGATACGATTATCAATCTGTCGAAAACATATCAAAGTTTTTTTTTCAATTTTTTCTATTGTTATGCTATGTAAACTTTCTAATAAAACTTATTTACACTAAGCTAAACGCTTTCAAATAAAGTTTTAAAACGCCATTAAATAAATTATCATAGAATATTAAAAAATACTTTTATTTCAAAAGTAATTTTTTAATGATGAATGTAATATTTTTAAAACACTTTATATTCTTAATATAATAAACAATGACGACAACGAATGCGTTTCAAACTATTTTTATAAATACTTTTTGATAATTTTAATGAAGTTAGTTTTTTATTAAATGATAATTAGATTTTTTTTTTATTAAAAGAGTTTGCCTATTATTATAAAAACATTAGAAAAGATCAGAGTTTTATAGTTCATCAAGTTGGCTTTAAAAGGTTAATAACTGTATTAGGAGAATTAAAAAAAAAACTTTTAATTTTATTTTTGATGTTAAATCAAAATTATTTATAATGTTATAATTTTTATTTGTTTATGTATTTTTATTTTCATTTATATATAAAAATATATAAATATAAATTATTCATATAACTATTTTTATTTAGACATTAAAAAAACTTCACTTTAACGTAATTGTAAAACATAAATAAAAATAATTTTCTATTAGAGTTTTAGTTTTTCAGATTTATATTAGTTTTTTTTTTTTAGAACTATAGGTATTAATTTTTTTTTAATTTCTCTTTAAGATTTCTTTTTTTTCTTTTCAGCGCTTTTTTAACTATCTAAAAAGCCCTGGTCAAGCTTTCAAAAAAAACAATTACATGCATGGTCAAGGTTGAAGTGCAATTGCACTCCTTTCCTGTCCATGACTGATCAGGTAGGATGTAATTAGTGGAATCAAGTGATGAGCTTAATGAAAAGTTCTTAGAAAACAGTTCAGCTTTGTTTTTAGGTGAGATAAAAAATTCTGAACCATGCAAGAGAGAAAGAATAATATATTTGCCCTTATTATAGACACTGTTAAAGTATCTTAAGAAGTCTCTGGAGATTTTTGGGATGAAATGCGAGCTTTGGTGAACTGAGAATAGAGGGCTTTAGAGCAATAGGCAAAATCTTTTTATAGTGGTTTTTAGCAATAGTAAACAGACATCTGTTTTCTGAAGTTATTTTTGTAATAGATATGGAAGTAATGGTTGCAATAGATATGGTAGCAGCACAGTGGGAGTAAAACCATGAAGAAGAGTATGACCTTTTTTCATCAAGAGGGAATAAAAGATTCCATGACAACCTTTATCCAAGAAGTTACATAAAAAGCAAAGTTGTCAGCAGAAAGACAAAAGATTTTTATCCAAGGGCCCATTCGAAGTAAATCATGGAATGAGTCCAAGTCAGCTTTAATTTAGTTGTAAGAGGTACAATGTTAGGAGGATTCTGATGATTAAGAAGAATGAGAAAAAAGTTTTAGAGAGATGAAACCATGATCTGTAGCATAAAAGGGTAAATGTAGAGAAACTAAGCACTGACTAGCATCATAAACAAAACATAAGTTTAGTAGAGAGTGTAAATTATTTAAATTGTCTGGTAATCAAGATAGAAAATTGACTATTCATGTTTGAGATTGAGAAAGGCAAAAGATGTGGGTATTAACACCAACAGGGTCACGGACAAAGTCACCAACAAAAATGATATTGGCTGAAGGATAAAGAGAAAGGGCTTGGTCAATTTGATCAAAAGAAGGTTTAATTTGATCAAAAATAACATCAAAAAAAGTGCAGTTTTGAGATGAAGGAGAGCAATATAGAATAAAGAGAAGAATGATAGAGAGAAGTGGTGCTACACAAAAGCACATAAAAGAATTACAAAAAGATTACAAGATGAGACAGTTAAACACAAATTAGTCTCAAAAAGAGCAAGTCTGGTGAACTTTGCAAGACATATGACTCAACAGAAGAAAAGTTATTTCAAAGATGACGAATATTAGTAAATGATAGATTTAGAGAACATGGTGATGACAATGGTTTTTTTATTTTTATAATATTTGATAAATTGTCATTTTATAAAATGGTTAAAGAACTTGCCTTAAGGCACAATACTCAATACACTATTCAATAGTCCATGCAATAGGCTCATTACTATTATTAGACCCTAAGCTGTAAAAAAGACTCTAAATGTGGCCTTGTAAATGCACACCAAATATACAAACAGGGACATCATTCATGTGCAACATGGTACTGTCATTACTCTGCTATTTTACAGCTGTGGAACCAGCTTCTCAGAGAGCTACCACATAGTTTATGAAACCTGACTACCAGCCGGCCTCAGAATCATAAAACTGAGTTTGTAGAGAGTTGTACCCTCATTATAAGATAATAAAATGAGTTGCATAGTAATAACCAGACATAAAGAGACACAACCAAAACCCATGTAATGAGTCTAGAAGAGCATTTAACATCCTAAACTGAAAACAAGGTATTATAAATACATAAATGCTAGCCTAATAAATGAAAAGAAGTGAAAAGCTGGTTAACAGATCAGAATCTGTTTATCCCTAGGATAAACAGATTCTGTTTATCCTAGGCAAAGTTTTTGTTTTGATTGAGACAACATCTCTAGCCTTTGCCTAACCAGAGATGTGTTAAGTCAGAGTTAGCATCTCCTAGCCTTTGCCTAAAAATGTGTATGCTAAAAAGCAGCAGAACATGAAACAGGTTGAACTGGGTTACATGTTTCCAGTAGCAGGATAACCAGACTTGACAGTGAATTATATATTAAATACAATATTGCAAAAAACTTTAGAAAAAATAAATAAATAAAAAAATAAGCAAAAAGTACATTGTATTCACTTCAAACACATCCTTTTAATTTAAATTTTAAAAATACCATTGTAGATTTAATAAAATAACAATATGATCAATTATTCATTAACAATAAAAATATATAAAAAACCTAAGTTCATGCATATGTTTATGTTTAAATTTTGTTCAGTTTGAGAACAAAAAATTATTGTACTTTTTGAGTAAATTCAAATGCTTATTTGTAACAATTACTCAATTATTAATAATATAACAAAAAATAAATTAAAAATTTATTAAAAATAAACGAATAAAAATATACGTATAATTTTCCTTTTTTATTACAATTAAAAAAGAACTAAACATTTTACCAAAACATTCCTTTACTTCAGAGCTGTTACCATAACAACTATACATGGGACTTGAACTATTGCACTCTCTTGTTCTATTTTTAAATCCATGTGTAACATTACAACTGGTCCAATTGCTCCACTGTGACCAAAAAACTAAAGTATGATATGAGTTTTAAAAACTCTAAAAATTGTTTTAAAAAAATGTTAATTATTTTGAAGAAAAGAAAAAGTTAATGTTATACTAAATTATTTTTTTACCAAAGCATTCCTTTACTTCATATTTATTTCCTTTGCACTCATCAATACCAGTAGAAGAGTTACATTCTCTTGTCCTGTTTGTAAACCCATGAGAAGCATTACAACTAGTCCAGTTGCTCCATTGGGACCAGAAAGCTTAAGAAAGCAATGAGTTTTGAAAATATTTGATGATTGAATGTATGACTGTGGATGAATAGGAATTAGTATAAAAGTTTAAAAAAAAATTATTGAGAGTTAATATAAGAAAAAAAATGTCTTAAATAATCATATCAGATATTCATCAATATTAGCCATTTCCATAATTTTTTTTTTGACAACCAATTTTTATGGGAAGTGGCTAATGAGTGGTGTAGAGGTCTTACTAATATGTGAAATTTTTTTTATTTATATTCTTTCTTGTTCTATTATAAGTATTATTGCCAATTGTTCAAAGTTACGCTTTTTGCAATTTTTAACAAAATTTAGCGATTTTTCTAAGCATTGGCACAAATAGATTCTGATGTCAAATTAGGTTAATTTTTTCAACAATATTTTCTTTATTTTTCAATCTTTCTTTTGTGCTTCTGTACCAAAAGAAAAACTTTGCTTATTAACTTAAGAAATTTGTTGTACCTATCTTTCACTGACACTAACTATGATAGTTAAATTACCGCTTTGACTATTATAAAGTGATTTTTTGTTGTTCTTAGATGTCAATTCTAGTCATACAACAAACTTTATAAACTTTACCTTATTTTGGCATAATATGTTTGTTTTTTTTAAATACTGTTGCTGGAGCCTTGGATCAAACAAATCTAAATTCAAAATAGTTTCCTTAAATAATTAGGTAAAGGACTTTTGATCTTTTGTTGTAAACTAAACTAGATAAAAACGTATCAATTTAACTTAAAAGCATATACCCACATTTTTTCTTTGGCTACTTTAGGTGCTCCAAGAAGACCTAACGGTTGCATCACAGAGCACCACAGAAGAGCATTTACCTTGGAAGTTTACCATTGCTTTATGTCAAAAAAAAAGCCTAGAGTAGGCATCAACCACAAATCTCTTAAATCTGAAGCAAAACTCTACAACCACAACTTATTGTCTGATTTAAATTATTAAATAAAAAAAAGTCCTTTACCTAATCTTTTAAGAAAACTATTTTGAGTTTGGATTTGCTTGATCCAAGGCTCCAGTAAAAGTATTTTTTTAAAAAAACATATATATATATATATTTTTGTTATTTATTTGAATTTTTAAGCTATATTTTTCTATACAATATTCTTATTTCTATATTTTTCTATACAATATTCTAGCCACCAACTGAGCTATCCAGCCACTATGCCATATGATACCAAAATAACGTAAAATTATAAAGTTTGTAGCATGACTAGAAATGACCTCTAATTAATACATGTATATATATATATATATATATATATATATATATATATATATATATATATATATATATATATATATATATATATATATATATATATATAAACAATTTTTAAATGTAGCTTTAAGGTTCAGAGTTTGCAATTAGGAATTAGATCAAAATTCAAATTATTATCAAATTATTTCAAACCATTACCTAGAATATCAAAAATTAACTAAAAGTCTGGTGAAATGTTCAAATGAAGACCTTGTAGCTAGTTTTTATCAACAAAAAATGCTTGCATAAAGATTTCAGTTTTGAATACAGAACTTTTACCATTTTAATATTGTGATCTCTGTCAAAAGATGCTAACGTTAGCATAAAACACCTTGAATGGTTTTACGATAATTTAAAGTTCACCTCTGCAGCAGGTTCATATTCAGTATACGTCTGCCAATAGTCTCGCTGATCTTAAAAGTGTAAATCTGACTTAAAAAAATTTTGAAAACCATAGTTTTTAAACTGTTTGTTACTTTTATGACATATTATTCTTAAAAAATAAGATTAAAATATCAAAACTTATAAAAATAAGTTTTACTTAACAAATTGCAGGTTAAAAACCACAATGCCCAGGAGAGAGAAATGAAGTCAGCCATTCTAATGATCTCTTTGAGTATTTTATTATTTGGAATAAAAACCTGCCTGGATTTGGAGATGTATTGAGTTTCATGTAATTAAAGGCGTGTGAAACAGTTCTATATTTGTTAATTTTTACCTAGTGTCTGATGTTTTTCTATGAGTTCACAATAATTTCTGCACTCAAATTTTAACTAAAACTTTTCAAAAAGTCTCAATGTAAATAATTTTAAAATTAGAAACTTATATGTTTTGTTTTTGCAAAAAGTATTTTAAAGTGAAACAGTTTTATCTTTACCTTACTATTTTTTAACTTTTTATGGTTTTATAATATAAATAGTTTATTCTTCGGTTTAACAGGCTATGTTGAACAATAGGCTAATCAATATCATATGGATGGTTAAGCGCCAAACCAGCCTATACAACAAAATTTTAAAAAGTGAGTTTTTATTAAAAAATAATTTTCATAATATTTTTTGCAAACCACAATAAACAATAATTAAAATATTTAAATGCACTGGACAGCAATAATTTTTAGTTAGTTTGGCGTATAGCCTTTTGCTAAAATATTTGAAGCCACACACGCCTATCTGCATACAAAATGGCATTAAATAAGTTTTCTAGCAAATCACTCTCTTTAAATTATCTCAGCAATAGCATTAAGTAAAAGGATTATGTTCGCAGTTTAGTTAGTTCTGAAATTAAAGGTTTGTTGTTTTAAAGAATTAATTCTTTAAATAAAATTGTTGAATTTTACTAAATCTAGCTGTATTATTTATTTTTAGATAATAGAAATGTTACTATTTCCTCTACAATTACAGCCGTTATTCCAAGTTTTTTGTGAAAGCATTTCGAAGAGCCGATAGGAAACTCATTTCAAAATGATAAACAATCTACGTTGAAGCCCAATAAAAAAATTGTTTGAAAGCAAAAGATTTTACGAGGAGAAAAACATGTTTCAGAAAGAGGGAACATAATTCAAGAAAAGAAATGTATTACAGGAGTCTGTGTTAGCAGTTGTAAATTTAATTACAATACAAAAATATCAATTGAACAACAGCAAAAAATATTTGATTCATATTATTCTATAGGTTGGTCATTAAAAACTGCATTTATTTTGGGTAAAGTAAGTACAACAATTTCAAAAAGAAAATATACCAAAATTATTATATCTCGAAGGAATAAAACTAGAGTTTACTGCCTTCCTGATAAAAATGGATGCAAAAAGATTGTATGCAAAACATTTTTTAAAAATATGATTGACATCAATGATGGTAACATTACTCTTACCTTGAAAAGAAAAATCACAGATGCTGATATTTTGAATGTGTTGTCTAAAGGTCAGCATTCATTAACTGAGATAAATATGAAATTCTTTGTACCTGGTCATAGCTTTTCAAAATCTGATTTTGCAATAATTGAAAGGCAAAAAAAGTATAATCAACAAATATTTTTACCAGAGTCTTGGTTAAACATTACAAAAACTGCAAAAAAATTACCTGAATTTGATGCGCATCTAATGTCAAAGGAAAAATTTTGTAGTACTGCTAGATTTGAAAAAAATATTACTAACAGAAAAAAGTCAATGCATGGTGAAAAGGTTGATTGGCTAAATTTAAAATGGATTACACTCCTGGAAAGTGAGCCCAAAAAAATGTTTCATAAACATAATTATTCTGAAGATTCAATTTTTTAAGAAGTTGATTTTAACAAAAAAATAGGCAGACCATCTAAAAAAAAACAACAACAAAATTCATTGAAATGATTTTTATTGAAACATCAAAAAAATCCTTCTTATGTAAACCAAAAACTATTATTTCCAGATGGAAAAAGAATAACTTAAAAAAAAACAACAGATTTGATATGATTACTTGAATTCATTCCTCCATGTTGGCACACATTTTATACAAGTTTAAAAACAAGCCCTGCTGTTATCGATTATGGTCTTGAGAGTTTTGATGATAACATTTTATTAGATTTGGTAATTGAGTAGATATTTTTTATGTATTTTATTCATTGCTATTAATTTAAAGTGCTCATTTATTAACATTAGTTTACTGACCTTTATTCCTCAAAGCCGCATTTGAGTGTGAGTGTGTGTGTGTGTGTGTGTGTCTATATATATATATATATATATATATATATATATATATATATATATATATATATATATATATATATATATATATATATATATATATATATATATAATTTGTAAAGAGATTGATGTGTTTGATACTAGAGATTTTTAAATTTGAAATTATTCTTTATTTAGTGTAAAGTTTTAAAAGGAAATTCTTTGTTGTTTTATTTCCATATTTTTTTTTTTTAACATTTATTCAAAACTAATTTATTTAAACCTAAAATTTAAATACTTTTACAATTAACACAAGCTAAAAATTATTAGGAGAGAAAACCAAATTACTTTTTGTTGTAAATATTTATTTAGTAAATTAGATACCTTTAAAAAGACATCTTTAATAAAAGCCAAAATCTTACTTCATTTGTGCCAATGCCACAAACAGCATAACTATTTATAAATTTCTGAAAGCCAGAAACGCCTATAATTTTCATTATCTATTGTCTTCTAAATAATTATCAAAATAATTTTCAATTTAATTGTATAAACATTAAAATATAATTGATAAAAAAAATATTAAAAAATTATTAGAAAAACTCCATATGATTTTTAGTAGGTATAAAACTTTAGGCTCATCTCATTTCAACATATTCGTTGAATAGGCTGGTTTGGCACAAAGTCATCCATATAAAGAAGATTATAATACTTAATAAAATGTTATAAAAAATTATAAAAAAAAAAATAAAAACAATAAATAAGCAAGAAAAACACAGCACTCACTTCAAACTTATCTTTTTAATTAAAATTTTGAAATACCATTGTAAATTTAATAAAAAAACAACAATCAATTATATATTAATAATAAAGACATATAAAAAGAGTCAAATAAAATATCAAATTTGGCATTTTAGGACATATAAAAAAAACAATTTTAATATAATACTCTTTGTAATAGTATTAGAAATCACCTCATTGCTTTTCACAAGCTTAACATAACAACAACTCTCTGCCACACACAATAAAATTTTAAAAAATTGTTAACAAACCTATGTTATAGTGTTAAAGTAGAATTTTATACATGTTACTAAGGTAACTATCAGAAGATGTTTCCTCATTAGCCACTTTCTGTAGATTTAAGCCCTAGGCAGACAAATATATATGTTAGCAATAATGTTATTTAAGGTTATGTAGCTAAGGTTTTTTATCATGTTTTTACATAACTAAGAATATTGCTAACATATATGTTTTTTTGGCTAGAAGTTAGAACTGTAGAAAGTGTCTGTAGAAAGTTTATTTTTATTACAATTTTTATCTAACAACTATTGAATGTTATTAGACACCAATACTTTTTTTTAAGCAATCAAAACACAGTTGTTTAAAGCTATGTAACTAAGGCTTTTTCTCATATGTTTTTCTTTAAATCTATAATTAACAATATTGCTAGCATATATGTTTTTCTGGCTAGAAGTTAGAACTGTAGAAAGTGTCTGGTTAAAGAGAAAACATATACTAGTTTCTTAAGTAGCATGTATAAAACTCTACTTTTAAACTATAAAACCTTTAAAGTTTTTAAATTTCAAGAGAGTCTGGCAGGGAGTTGCAACTATGTTAATTATCTGCCAAATGATGAGGTGATTTCTAATACAATCCCAAAGAAAACTAAAAGAAAATTCCACCTCATCACCATTGTTTCTACTTGTGTTGAAGCAATATTGTTACGACTTTTTACCTTTTATAAAACAACATGTCTTATGGAATAAGACATGTTATTTTATTAAAGTTGTTTCTTAGAATATTTATAAATGATCCGTAAGGAAACTGTCATTCAATAACATCTCATTTTTACTTAAGTTTTCTGAGTTTATCATTGAATTTAGATTTAAAAAAACACCAGTTAAAAAAATAAATAATAACATTACTAACATAAATTGTTAATATGTAGCAACTATTGATTCAAATAACACCTCAATAGTTAAATTTCAAAGCTTTTACAAAATATAAAAAATTAAGATAAATATGTGTTTTCCATTCTTGATTAGGGCTAAAAATAAACTCAATACTTTACCATAACAATCTTTTATTTCAGAGTGGTTACCATTACAACCATCAAGTGTATTTGAAATATTACAATCTCTTGTTCTATTCATAAACCCATATGTAGCATTACAACTGGTCCAAATGCTCCATTGTGACCAAAAAGCTAATGTAAGAAAGGAATTAAAAAAAAAAAAAAACTATTAACAATTAAAATCAATTTATTAACAATTGAAATCGATTTTAGGTTGAGAAAATTATAATAAAGAAATGGATGAAAACTTGTTGCTCAAGTTTTTAAAGAAGTTACTTAAATAATATACTTTATAATAATAGTTACAAAAGTAAAAATTTTTAACAGTGTTTTATCATTAAGGACTATTATTATAAAGTAATAAAAGAGCAAAGATTTGAATTTAAAGGTTTAAATTTTTTAACTTTGATAAGTATTTGTACAGAGTAACAGAAAAAAAACTTATTAATGAGTTTGCAATAAAAACTTATTGATGAGTTTGCTATTTTTGTAGCCATTCTTACAAAATCTTATAAAACTATTATTATAAAGTAACTTAGATTGCTTAAGTATGATAAGTTTAACTTTAAAACTTTTTTTTAACTTTTTTATTTTTTTATGTTTTACATTATGTTGTTTTTAAAGCTTTTAAGGTTTATTTATCTTTAAAAAGTCTTTTTTTAAAACTAATCCACAAGCCTGTGGGTTAGTTTTTAAAATTAATCCACAAGCTGCTCTATAAAAAATTATGGGCCAAAAAAATCTTGTTTGATTATTGATGATGAAACTTATTGCACTGCATATTTCCGATCTCTTCCAGGACACCAATATTATTCAGCATTTAATTGCAAAAATTCGCTAAAAAATTCTTAGTTTGGCAAGCAATTTGTGGATTGTTATGAGACTACGGGAACAATAAACACCAAAATATAAATAAAAGAATACATCAAGAAACGTCTTTTGCCGTTTATAAGAACACACACGGGTGACCCATTATTTTGGTCCAATTTAGCATCATGTCACTACTCTGGGACAACTTGAAACTGGTTTAGAGAACATAAAGTAGACTTTGTTGAAAAATAATGCAATCCACCAAATTGTCTCGAACAACATCCTATCGAAAGATATTGGGCTCTTTACAAAAAAAAACTAAGGTTCAATGTAAAATAAGCCAAAAACATTAAAAACTTCAAATAAATGGATTAGAGCTACCAAGAAAGTCCAGCCGAAGACTGAAGACAAAAGCTGAAGTTAAGTGTAAAACGCAAAGTGTGTGCATTCTCACACACAAAACTTCACAAACTTTTTTATATGAAATTTAAGAATATTAATGTATGTACTTTCAAAATATATATAACATTCAATATCTAAATCCAATAGCTAAGTAAATATCCTTTAAAATGTCTGCGCAGATTGTTTCTGGTACATGTCTTATCTGTCCACTATTTATTATCTTTCAAACTCAACTTCATTAGATTGCCACTCTAATACTCTTTGTTCTTCGTAGACTCAATTACTAATGCTCTTTAGTGAGCTAAACTCGTCTTTGAGGACCTTAGTATGCAATTTATCAACAATATTGTAAACACATAAATGCGTTTGACAAAACTATTGTAATTAAAAAAGTTTTTTTTTAAACTAAAACAAGTACCTTATAAAGTTAAAAAAAGTTATGGTACTTAAGAAGATTTTTTTACTATAAAAATTATTTTTTGTTATGAAAGTGTTTTTGTAGCTCATCTTTAAATTATGCCAAATTTCATTTTTAGTCTGAATTAATTGAATAAGACTTTAACACAATACTTTAATTGCATCTGTTCTGTTTTTAAATTTGTTTGGTTAAATACTCACAAATATTTACGTATTTCTATTGTTCTTCATGTAAACAAACAAACGCAAGACATGCATGTTGCAATACACGTTTTTTTATTTTTTTTTATAAGCATAAGTTTTTAACATAATTTATGTTATACATAAATACCACCAACTAATATTAAAAAAAAAAAATTTCTCTGACTCAACCATGTTAAAACTTTTATATTAATCTTGATTACATCAGGTTCACAATACCATCTCACTACTCACAACTAGCTTTAGTAGGATTCCGTTTGTAATTTCTCTTATGATTATCTTTTAGCTGATAGTTTTTTTTGTCTAAAAATTTTATCCAAATACTTTCTTAAATTCAGATAGGTATGAATACTTTAATACTTTTAGGTAAAAAACTATGTTTTTTACCTAAAATTTAGGTTCTAGAAACATTTGAAAAATCTTTAATAGTATCATCAACAAAAATTAATCTAATATTCTTTTTATAGTTTGTAAATTTGACATAATTGCCTTTCAAAGAAAGTCATACATTATCCAAAGATAACAATGAGCCATAATTAAAAAACCTTTCTACTAAGTTATTATTAAAATGTTATGATTACACTTTTCGTAAATAACCGACTGATCAATTACACTTTTAATTAACTCTGGTTTCCTTTTTTAATTTATCATCATTCATTCTCGACTTTAATTAACCTTATAATTTATTATATAAATTTTAGTATAAACTACAAGTACAAAAACAACAATAACTTGGTATTTCATATTTTAAAAAAAGGCTAGTTTTTTAATACAAATTTTGCTTGTCTGTAGAATTTAATTAATTCAAATAGTACACAAGTAAATAAGGTCAGGAAAAACTGAGAAAGATTTTTTTAAAATTACTTTATCAAAAAAATCATGCTCTTAAACTTTTTATTTTAAACAAAATTTATTTTGACATTTATTTTGACAAATAAAAATTAATTTAAAGTTTAATTTCTCACCAAAACATTCCAATATTTCAGAGTTAAACCCATAACAAACTTTCTTAGAATTTATAGTGTCGTAGTCATATGTGATGTTCTTAATTCCTAATAGAGTGTTACAACTAGACCAATTACTGCATTGGGACCATAATGCTAAAGTAACAAATCAACAATAAAGACATTACAAAATAGTACGAACTTCATAAAACTTGTTTTATATGTTTATATATATATGCGTATATATATATGCGTATATATATATATATATATATATATATATATATATATATATATATATATATATATATATATATATATATATATATATATGTATATATATATATATGTATATATATATATATATATATATACATACATATATATATATATACATATATATATATATATATATATATATATATATATATATATATATATATATATATATATATATATATATATATATATATATATATATATATATATATATATATATGCAACCCTCGGAATTAGGGTAGACATTTGGCAATGCTGACCTAACTGCTGAACTAAAAGTGTTTGAGGTCAGCAAAAAATTGCCGACCTCTTTTCTATGTTTTATGGTAAGATCTTTGTTTTAATTTTTTTTTGCCGACCTTTAAAAAAATGAGGTCGGCAATAACTTGCCAACCTCATTTTTCCTAATTACGAGAGTTGTATATATATATATATATATATATATATATATATATATATATATATATATATATATATATATATATATATATATATATATATATATATATATATATATATATATATATATATTTATATATATATTTATAGTATATATATATACATACATATACACCTAATATCATGTGCATATGTATGTATATTTATATATACACAGACACACACAGACATATATGAATATATGTGTGTATGAATATATATACAGTTAATTTGCATTAAGTTGAATACCGATAAACTCAAACTTTTGTTATCTCAAACTTTTTTATTTGGTCTCTTGAAGTCATCAAATTAATTAATAGTAAAAAAACTCCAGTTTAGTTAGACCTCAGATAACTTAAACTTAATAAAGTCAAACTAATTTATCTTCTTAATTTAACTCAAAGTTTTTGTATCTTATACTCAAACTAATGCTTCATATCATAATAGGAATTTCCTTTAGTTGAACATTCATTAATTCAAACCATTTCCTTTGGTACCATAGAGGATTGAGTAATTGGGAACTAACTGTTTTATACTTAATAAAATATACATATTCTAAGAAAATAACGAATGAACTTTTGCAATTTTCATGTAATGTAAGTTAACAAAAACATGATAAAGTTTTGTTTGTTATAAAATTTAGGTAAAAAACTAAAAGTTTTTTAATAATATATGCGAAAGAATATTAAATATAACATTTTTGCATTTTAAGTTTTGATTAACGATGCTTAGTTAGAGCACAATTTCATTTTAAATTTGTGTAACGTAAGTTAAAACTACAAACATTTTCTTAAGTTCTGGCCCTTTTTTGTTAACAAAATGAATTACGTCATTTAGTATTTACTATTTCGTTGACAAGGTTTTAACTGGAACTTTTTATATTAGGAGAATTTAGAAAAAAATCTTTTACTATTTTAATGTTAATTAAAATCATTTATATTATTGGTTTTTTATTTGTTTATGTATTTTTACTTTATTTGACATAAATACACATAAATATATAAATATTAAGAATTATGTAAATATTTGTATTTAGACATTTAAAAAAACAGATTTATTTGCTATTTTCCTAATATAAAAAAAATTAGTTAGAACTTTTTTTGTTTTTGTTTTAGTAAAACAAGTCGTTTGTAAATGCTATTATGAGTCATCCATAAAGCATGTCACCCTATATTTATCAATTTTTAACCCCTTCCCTCCTGTTATAAACGATCACATATACCTGAATCCCTTTCCCTTCTAAACTGTGATAGCAGTTTTTCTATGTATTTAAATGTAAGGAGTGTAAGTAAAAACTTCGACAAGCCAAAGATTATTATATTTAAACAACTCAAATTAGTATTAAAAAGTTGTAATACTAAAATAATTTTTCAAAGTTGCTCTTGGTCTTACGGATAAAATGTTTTCGATTTGATAACTTTTATAAATGGTATGAAAAATCACTCAGTAAGAGTGATTTTTCATCGCCAATTTTTAAAAATTTCCTTTGTTAATTATTTTTAATGAATGAGTTCAATATCTTTGCAATTGCTTAGTTACGCAATTCTAACTCAAAATAATAGAAGTAAAAATCCACAATAATTATCGCAAGGTAATGTAAGTGATGTAATGTAAGTGAGATACATAGTATCAAAAAACCCCTTTTTTTTTTATTCAACCATATCAATAAAATTTACAAATTTCATTGTAAATTAATATAAATTGGTTAAGTGTCACTCATATAGTTTCAAATTAGAGTGAATTGAAATAGAGTGAAATAGAGTGAATTGAAATAGAGTGAAATACAAATTGGAGTGACACCTAAAAAACATAAAAATTTCACGAAAAAATAAATAAATAGAAAAAAAAGAAAAAAAAAAAAAAAAAGAAACAAAAGCAAACAAAAAAAAAACAAAAAAAAAAAACAAAAAAAAAAAACAAAAAAAAAAAACAAAAAAAAGAAACAAAAAAAAAAAAAAAAGGAAAAACTCAACATCTGTATATATAATAAGAGAGAAAAGAAGAAAAGATTGTTAAACAAATAATAATGATATATGTAATAATAATAGTAATAATACAAAATAATAACTATAATAATAAAGTACCAATAATATTAAGAATATTATAATACAATATAAATTGTATGTACAAATCATAGATGATAATTAGATATAATAATAATATAAAATGTAACATTAATAACACAATAACAAATAAATATAAGATAGGTAAATAATAAAGTGAAAATCAAACCACTTGTTCGTTTAAGAGATTATATATTGAAGACAACTACAGTACAGAGAGAAATTATAAAGAAATACACTCCAACAATATATTTTTAAACTGAATTCTGTTGAGCAGTAAAAAATTCGTAACAAGTGGATATTTTTCTTAGACTTTTTTATTAATGCAGGAATACACTGGTTCCATTGAGAAATACATTGTTGTTTTATGGAAAACTTACCATATTTGATTGTGTTGAAAAAAGAATAGTATAGCTTACTATACTTGTATAGCTTACTATTTTCTGTATTCCTGGTGTGATGATTATGAACTTCGTTTGTTTTAATAAAAAAATTTGAAAAAGGGCTTGGTAGTTTATTTTGGAGAAAGTCAAACACAAAAAGACAATTGTAAAACTTTACAAGATTATGGAGTTTTAGGATTTTTAGTTCAGAAAATTTTTAGAGAAAGCATACTGTTAGCTTGTGTAAGTTTTTTTTTTAGATGATACAGTTGATTATACCAAGATTTCATCAAGATATATTCCAAGATTTTTTTAGATGATACAGTTGATTATACCAAGTTTTCATCAAGATATATTCCAAGATACTTTATATATTTTGATGGAAAAAGTTTTTTACCGTTAATTTTAATATGATCAATAGTTTTTTGAGAAGAATGAAAAATAATGTATTCAGTTTTATTGACATTCAAGGAAATACAATTACTATTTAACCAGTTACATAAGTGATGAAGATCTTGATTAACTTTTTTACAAAGAGTTGTGAGGGATTTGTTGATATATAAAAGATTGGTATCGTCAGCATAATGATGTATCATAGAATTTTTTAATGAACAAGATAAATCATTTATATATAATAAGAACAACAACGTTCTAAGAACGGAACCTTGTGGAATGCCATATTTAATAACTTTATGTGTGGATTCAAATCCATTAATTGAAACAAACTGAGTGCAATCAGTAATATATGAAGAAAACCAATGATCAGCAATACCACGTATTCCCTAGTAGTTTAGCTTTTTTATTAGAATGTTGTGATCAACCGTATCAAAAGCTTTTTGAAGATCTATGAATACACCACAAGCAAAAGAACCACTGTCAATTGCACCACGAATCATTTCAGTAATGCTAATAAGAGCATGAGAAGTGGAGTGATTTGAGCGAAACCCAAATTGTCGAATATGAAAACAAGCAGAATTATTTAAAAAGTTGTAAATACGAGAATACATAAGTTTTTCTAAAAGTTTGCTGACATTTGATAATAATGAAATTGGTCTGTAGTTATTACATTCAAGTTTTGAGTCTTTTTTATGAATTGGGATAACAGAAGCAGTTTTTAAAATATCAGGGAATACACCGGTTGTGAATGACAGATTAAATAGTTCAGAAAGTACAGGAGAGATATCATTTGCAAGAGCTTTAAAAATAGGTATTGAAATGCTCTTAGGTCTCGAAGCCTTGCTGTCATTAAGAGAATGAATAATCGATAAGACTTCGTTTTTGTCTGAAGGTTTTATGAACATTGAATTAAGATTAGAATTTTTAAGATATTTATTAAAGTCAGTATTGAATTAGTGTATAATAAAGTCAGTATTGAATGTATGTCAGTATTGGATGAGTGATCTTATTCTGTAAATCTTCTGGAACTGAAACAAAGAATGAATTAAAAGATTCCGAAATTTTAATGGGGTCGTATATCATGGAGTTGGTAGAAGATAAGCATGAAGGAGATGAGTTAACTCTCGAACTAATATTTAAAAGGTTCTTAATACCATCCTATGTAGATTTCAAATTTTTGGCATTGTCAGAGAAGAACTGAGAGTAATGGTTCTTTTTACTACGAAGGGTGAGAGTAACAAGTAAATTTCTATATGTTTTATAAGATTTTTCTAGATTGAGTTTGTTATTAGGATTCTTTGCTTTAAGAAATTTGTTAAATATTTTATTTCGCATTTTAATAGAGGTCAAGATTCCTCGTGTTATCAAAGGTTTGAGACCCCTTGATAAGCAGCGATTGCTGACTTTTTTTAATGGAGCATGTTTATCTAAAAGAGAATTGAAACTTGAGAAAAACTCTTCAAATGACTTATTAGTCTTACCTTCATTGACATTGATTACATTAGTCCAGCTAATTTTTGAGAAATCACTACATAATTCGATGCAATTTATTTGTTTTAAATTTCGATGAAAAATGCAGCTTTTACGAGTATTAATT